GAGTCGGCTATCTTAATATATTTTATTTTATGCACTTGTTGATTGACCCCTTTCCTCTCACTGTTCATTCACGCACATTTTTATTTTTTTTACATTGCTTGTAGACTCGGTAGTTTAGTGTGGTGTCTGGCACAAGGCCACTTAGTAATAAACCAGCACTGCACGCTGCCGGGTCTGCGACAAAGCATCTCAACCATCCAAGATGAAGTGGATGCCAATTTGACAGCTGAGAAAATTCAGAAAATTTATTAGCAATAACAGAAATTACATTCTACACTGTTCTGCCATTTTAACTTCACTATGGTGAGTGTGTATAAGTACAGGAGTGAGATGTGGACATTGATTGCTGGTCAAGAGAGGAGGTTAAATAATTTTCATATGAGAAATTTTCATCATGTGGTTTCAGCATCTCAGGTGACTTGGGCACATTGCACACATGGATAACTCCTGAATTCCCAAACAGGTACTGTATGGAGAACTGTCTGAGGGTATGTGTAACATTGAGTGACCCAAGCTTCACTTCAAGGACCAGTGTAAAATGTCTATAATGGAATTTTCTATCAATGTTGCAAACTGAGAAGCAGTTACCTGGAATTGAGTGGAGTGAAGAGTTGCTGTTTTCACTGGAGTAAAGAGCTTTGAAGAGTATAGGGTCCAGTGTACCATAGAGGCTTGACAAAGACGCAAATGCCCCATGGTGGATAGCCATACAGTATTCTACTACAGTGGTCATTGTCAAAAACCGTGCCAATGTTTGTTTTAGCCATGAACGATGTTTTGTCTTAAGATAACCTATTTTCTGCTGCTGACTGTTACCATCAACTAAAAAGGCCATATCTATAACTGCACTTTTAGCTGTCCGCTACCACTTTTTCACAAATGTCGATTTTCGTGCAAAGAGCGGATCACATCTTCATGAATGTTTCTGAAAACCTAAACTCCTCATTGGATAATAAATATTAAATTTATCTTTACGTGTATTGTTCTCAATAAGCGAGACAAAACATATCAGGCTCTCTAGACTGAGTTTTGTAAGGCGCTTTCTGAGTGGTTAACAGGTGTTAAAAAAACAATTTACCTGCTCACCACTACGTCCGAACAACGTCAACCTAGTTTTTGACCTGACGAAAAAACAATGCCTTCGGAGCCTGTCACGTGGTTGAAGGAACATATAAGTTGAAGGTACGAGCGGACCCGCCCAGTGAGAATTTACGACGACCAAATTCGCTAATCGACTTCACGACGCTTGAATCATTACTGCAGCGAAGTACAAAGTTGGAACCTAAAGTTCATTAACATGAAATTACTTCACTGAAAATCAAGCTACATTACAATTTCAACGAAACAGCTCACTCACCAACTTGTAAAATTTTATATTCTTATTCAATTACGTTATTGAATCAGACGAACTTTAATTACAAACAATTACGAACAATACATTTAAAACTACGAGCAACAAAAACATACGGAACATTCACTTCTCCAACTTCTTTAAAGCTAAAAGTTTATTAACATATTTTCAGCTTTATAAGATTCTCTTTCAGTGAACATTTTGAACTACAAGTTAATTCAGTTTTTGTGAGCTCGGATAAAAAAATAACCTTTAATTTGTAAAAACATTAGCCCAGTCGAAGGGAAGTAACTCTTATTATTGTTGTTGTAAAACTGTTGTTTTTTTTATAAATATAAATATTGTTCCTGATTAAGAAAAGTTATTTTCTTGTATTTCTTCTCTTGTTTGCTTTTTATTTTCTTGCACATTCGTAAAGTAAAAAAATGTGTGGGTTGATTTATTCCGTCAATACCACTACACACTCAACAACAAATCAATATTCACCAAAAGAGTTGTAACAATTCCATTAAATTTCACAGTTCACTTAAGACATCAAATACATCTCTGGATCTCAAGATGCTTTAGCTGATACTCTATCAAAAATGATGATTCATCACACAGACTTAACAGATTTCAGCTATGTGTCTATAGCAGATGAACAAAAGAAAGACAGCAGTACAAGGGACATCACTCCAAATAACAGAGTTACCTGCTCCTTTTAGTGATTAAAAATATTTTGTGATATTTCCTTTGAGAATCCTAGACCATATGTACCTCTTTTTCTATGATCTAAAATCAACATTTACCAAAAGAATTGCAACAATTAGATTAAATTTCACAGTTCACTTCAGATATCAAATACATCTTTGGATTTCAAGATGCTTTAGCTGATACTCTATCAAAAATGATGATTCATTACGCAGACTTAACAGATTTCAGAGTTACCTGCCCCTTTTAGTGATAAAAAACTATTTTGTAATATTTCCTTGGAGAATCCTAGACCATATGTACCTCCTTTTCTATGTAAGGCTATTTTCATGGAGTATAAGTATAAGCAAAATGGTTACTCAAAGATATGTATAGTGAAGCATAATAACAAACATATGAACTTAGACAAAAAATTGCTTAGCATGTCTGCAAAATAAGGTTACAAGACATACTATTGGTACATTTAGTAACCCAAACACAAGGTTTACTAATTTACATATTGAACTGGTAGATACATTTCAGAGCTACCAATATATTTTGACAGTAATAGATTTACACTCTTGATAAACAGCTGCATATCTGAGTGAAAATTCACATGCTAAAATTATAGTAAAGACACTGCTTCAGTGTTCTTTCCATTGTAGCGACAGTGTTACCAATATTTAACGTTTGGCTAGGAAAGGTGGGATTAAGGACAATGCGTGGACACAATGCAATTTATATTTGACGTAAATAGCACATAGTATAAAATACAAAACTGAATGGAATGATTTCAAAACATAACAGTTGAATTTATTAATATTTGATATACATGCATGCAAACTGAAAAGGTAGGACAGTCGTGTTCCGTTGATTAGGTAATAGTTGTAGCTGAGTTCATATTAAAAGGAAGTAATATTAAACTGTAATTTAGAAGAATAAAGTTTCTTTAGTGTGTTTGGAATTGTGAGTTGTAAAGTTGGTAAAAGTTCAGAAGAGATTTCAGAGTTCGCACTTGCGTGAATGTTGGTAATGGTCTTTAACATCTGACCGCAATGGCTAAGACGGGAGTTCTTGAAGATTACATCTTGGTACTTGGTTGATAAACAGCTGCATATCTGAGTGAAAATTCACATGCTAAAATTATAGTAAAGACACTGCTTTAGTGTTCTTTCCATAATCACCACAAATGGTGGGTTTCAATTCCACTCACAACTTTTCAAAGAAGTCACAAGATTGCTTGCTCACAAGTATGATCGAACAATTTCATTGATAATCAAAAACTACCTTAGTCATCAGAAACAATCAAAATAACTGGGCAGAAAATTTGTCACTTGTAATGTTTTTCATAATAAACATAGTCAAGGATGATCTATGATGTATTCCAGCTGAAATAGTTTACAGAATCACTTTGACTCTTTCTGGTCAATTTTTTTATAGTAACACAAAAATTGAACTCACAACATTTGTTCAGGAGGTAAAAGCAAAACTTTTGTAGCTGCAATTTGCTCCAAGACAAGTAACCACACAAATATATATTCCAAAAGATCTGGGCAATCATGATTATTTTTTTTTCACAATGGCACAGTAAAAAATAATTTAACTCCATATTATGAAGGATCTTATTCAGGACACAAGAGAGCTAATAAATATTTTACAATTCTTCACAAGTAATTACCTCTCTTAGAAAGACAATATTTCCATTAAACTAGCATGCATTGATGCTCAATTCTCAAGAACATAGCAACAACACTTGTACTACACCAACATTTACACAACAACAACAACAACTTACAAGCCCTGAGATAATATGACACAGCAAAATACCAACTCTTATCAAACAGTATCTAAAGTAAACAAAAACATAAACAAACAAATTTGGTGGAAAGTCATATAGAATGAGTATAAAAAGCAGTGCATTTTCAAAAATATTTTTTTCCTTATTTCTGTTCTGTGAATAGCTGCTGCCTAGCATGTAAGTCATTTTTCCACAATTGTCAAGCACTCTCTCTCTCTCTCACACACATACATACATACATATATATACACTCACTGTTTCCAAAAACTAATTTTTGTAAAAATACATTGCTTTTATTTTAAACAAAAAAATGTTTATCTGTTTGTCATTTGTATGCAAAAATTTTGATTGCCATTCCTTTTATTTGGGTTAAAAGTAGTGACTGCAACAAAGTGCATTAATTTTTTTTATTTTTCATGCTTCTCTTTAAAAGAATTTAAATTTAATTCAACTTTCAACACTAAAGCAAAATTGTCCATGAAGTATGAAATTGGTACTGAATTTTAGTTGTCATTTTGTATGCCTGTGAGAAAAGTCAGTTTTTAATTTTAAATTATTTTCAATTGCTTGTGCAAATAGAGGATTCCAATTGCAATAAATTTTACTAAGTCAGCATTTAGAAGAAGCAGTCAATTTTTACAGTTTTCAGTGCAATGTGATATTATTCAATTATATCCAGACACTTTGATAAACAAATAAATGCAAATGCAATGATGATGTGGTTGCTGATATTTTTCAATCTAAAATGTATGAATATTGAGTTAAGTTAAATGAGGTGTAACCATATCAGCAAAGTACTAATGTTTATATTAAAAAGAATTAGTCAAGTTTTAGTAGAGGGCCACAATAAAAAGTAATACGGTATAAGAATGAAACTCACAAACAATAAACCTGTGAAACTCACTTACATATTATTCTTCTGAAGTAGGTATTTGAAAGAGGAAATAAACACATTATCACTTTATACTGACTTCTATGTAACCTTTGTGAGTTATTAATAATTTCATTGATTATAAATTTTCATTAATGATTTGCTTTGTATAAAAAAGGAAAACTGTGACCTGCCAATTTAAATGATATTAAATTTATCTTTATATTTTCAGAACTGTCAAATGGAAATCAAGTTTGTATCTCTGATGGAATAAAATATTATAATTTTGATATCTGGTGCACCTTCTATAGTGAAACAATGTGTGCATTACTGTGTGCTGTCAGTCAAGGTAAGAACAAATATACAATTCCAAATTGTAGATATTTACAAAATTTAAATTTATATGTTAAACTGAGTTATCAAAATTGTTTAACTATGCTAAAAATTCTACAATGTCAAATGCAATTGTTGACATAAGTTGAAAATAATACAAGGTCAAAGAGCCACTCCTGGTAGAGGGTTACTGAATGCGGTGTGTGTTATGAACACAAAAGGGGAAGTAGGAAGTGAATATGAGAATAGGTAGAAAAGTTAATGACTAACCGTTATAGTGTTCAGAAAAGCATTCACTTGCAGTCTTCTCCAGAAAGTAGCAGTTCTTGGAAAGAAACTGTCTGAATAGAACTTTCTTCTTATCGAGGGAATACAGAGGGAATGAAAGTGATTCAAGGCTGTGAATAGCTTTAAAGGGTTTCAATTGGTGACACCAAAGAAGAATGGAGCTTGTCTGAATATGGAAAAGGTTTACAAATGTTGCATCTATGGAAAAGGATTGCAGGGTGGAAAATAGGTCATCTCTTCCTGCATAAATTCTTTTCAACTGTGCCTAAACCAAGTGCTTTTTTTTTTCTCAATATTCCTGCTCTTAAATTCATTTCCTCCAATTACTCCATGAATATATTCACTATCAGAAGAGAACAGGAGATTTCATTCTGATACTCACTTCCTGCTAATGTATACAAAAACAAAAGTGGAAACATGTTGTTTGCATACAAAAAGTTCATATATTGTGGATCAGTAAAAAAAAAAAAAAAGTCATATTTTAGTTTAATCTAGTTTAATCACATGTAGAAGTTCTAAAAATGTCAATCAGGAGATGAGAAAATGGATGTTTGAAATGAGTTACACAAGTCAAAGAAATGAGTTACATAAATCAAATAAAAGGAAGGATTACTTTTAATGACATATTCATTCAGGATATATGTGATTAAGGCTTTCCATAGACTCCTTTTTATTATTTTCCTTGAATGCCATGACATCTTGGCAAAGATCATGTCATGGTTTCCTACAACCCTCTCTACAGCTTTGAATTCAGATTAATCCTTTTCCTAGACTGACTCCTACCCAGGACTGTTTGTCCTGCTATTTTATTCATAGTTGGTGGAGGAAAACAAGAGATGAATTCATATCTTTCTCAATGGCATGAGCATGAAAGTGAATGCAACACACTAGGCTGGAATTTGAACTCAGTTTACCAAATATACTTTCTATAACAATAATCGTCTGGAGACAGCATAGGTCATCAATTCAGAAAACTGTTATCATTATAGCCAAATCTAATTCTCTATGTTTTCTCTCTTCATGAAAAAAGGACTTTATGATAAACTCTCTTTCTAAAATATCACATGTATGCTTGGATACTTACAAAAAAATCAATTGTGATATCAGTTCATCCAAAAATTTAACCTGGTCTTTATTTTTATTACCAGAAATCAATTGACCTGCATTGTTTTTTCATCACAAATAAATGTAAGTATTTTAATAAACTGTTAAGTGTCTGAAATGTATTGCAATCAAACTCACATGATACATATTCTTATTACATGTCATTTACTCAATTCAGTTTTGTATTGGCCTTCAGCCACATCACATTAAAACAGTGGTTCTTGTTTGATCACTGAAGTTAAGCAATGTTGAGTCTGGTTAGTATTCAGATGGGGAATACCAGGTGCTGTATGACAGACCTAACAAGTCTGTGATGGATAAAATCTAATTACTTATACTAAGAGAAGAACTTGATATGTAGAATTGCTTCTGGACTAACAGGTCAAAAGACCTACCTAGAGTTGAGTGAGTGAGTAGATTTAAAGTCAAACTGTAAGAAATTGAAAAGCAAAAAAGACATATTTCACCAATCACCCAGATAGGAGAGGACCATTTTCTCATTCTGCATTTTGCTTAATGTTGCTTTCTTTTGCAACAGTTTGGTCTCATAATTACAGACAAACAATAAAATTATTTCATTGAAAAATGAATACAGCTGGTCTCACTTGAAAAGATCTCTTTTTATATTACAATTATTATATGTTAATATTAGTTCCACATTTAATATATCAATATTAATCAATAGATCAGCAACTAATTTAAAGGTTTCATGTACTCATACTCTAATGATTAAATGTTATTGTACATTCATCCAAATAACTAAGGAGTATTTATGAAATAAGATATATATATAATATCCATGTTATAAAAATAATAGATATATATAATATCCATGTTATAAAAAAATAACTTTTAAAAGAATGATTCTAATTTCTAATTTAATTTCAGCAATTCAATGTGAAGAGATGATAACATGACAAGAGGCAATAATCATCCTGAATCATTCCAAGGGAAATAAATCTCAAAATATTGCAATTTATCTGTAGCATTTGTCTGAATAAATAAATGTTCATCAAATAATCAATATATTGATTTATTCCTCTTTTTTTTTTTCTCACAAATAAAGTAAAATTATTTTCATCAAGAATTTCAACACCTGTTGATTTTGATATTAAACTCAACATACAGATTTACCTTTTGAATAAAAATACATATTTTCAAATGCTCTAATTTTCCCTAGCTTCTCTTAATAATTACTAAGCTTAGCTTGTTATGTGAAGTCACATAAGATATATGATAGAAGAAGGGTGATCTTTCAGGTATGAAAGGTCTATCTGCATTAAAAATGAGAACTTTAAATATAGATTTTTACCTGACTATATTTCTGTGATGAGGTATTATGTACACTATTTACATTATTCGGACTAATGTCCTCATCTGTGTCGCCATATTTATTACAGCGTTTCAGCCCTTCAGTATCTGTCTATATTTCTGAGATGAGGTATTATATACACTATTTACATTATTCAGACTATTGTCCTCATCTTTGTTGCCATATTTATCACAAGGTTTTGGCCGTTGTACGCTCCGACCTTTTTCAGGTTGTTGGAATGTCAAACTGAACCCTTTATTTCGCTCACTGGGGTAGACTGTTCTAGTTACACGTGCCATGTCTAATGGATATCAGTTATCAGTTATCTTCTGTTAATTCCCCTATCCAAGTTCTCCACTGCCTTAACTGGGTATTGAACTCACACTGTTTCGGTTTTGTCACTGGATCTAACCAACACCTTTATCCATTGTGCCATGTGTCTTCAAGGCAGTGGAGAACTTGGAGAGGGGAATTAGCAGGAGATAACTGATAACTGACATCCATTAAACATGGCACATGGAACTAGAACAGTCTACCCCAGTGAGAAAAATAAAGGGTTCAGTTCGACATTGGCCAAAACGTTGTAATAAATATGGCAACAAAGATGAGCACAATAGTCCGAATAATGTAAACAGTGTAGATTTTACCTCATTAACCTTAAACAGCAAAGGAAAATATGCAACTATGCTAGAATAGTAACAATATTTCATGTAAGAATTTGAAAGATTATTACAAGACCAAACCTTTATTCTGGCAAATACATTCACCACACTAAATGATCTGTTATCATAGTGTACTGCAGGCATTATGATTAAGCCATAAAACTTTCATGGATATTACTGAATACTTCCCTTGCTGTAATCCTGCTATGGTGCATGCCTCTTATTTGATAAATGGTTGAGTGCCATGCAGTGGCGTAGCTAGAGTAAACGTCACCCGGGGCGGTCCGCTCAAATGTCACCCCAATGACCCCGATTCCCCCTATGCTGAATGGTTAGCTGTAGCTACATTTTCATACATTCTCTACCTCTACTTTACTCTACTGACCGGTACGTTACTGTTTACATGTATGATCCAAGACAAAATCCAATACCACAAAATAATCAGTTCAAATCAAAAGATTTTAAAAATGCAACTGTTCACTTTCAGAACAACTAAATACAAATGCAATATACAAAAGAATGACATTCGATACTATGGTCTTAGAATGAATGTTTTCTTGTTTTCATTGTGGCAAACTGGTCAATGACATCATCAAAATCTGTTTGTCTTGTAAGCTCGTTTTCAATGGACAGCACAGCCAGATCCGACAGTCTTGACTGGCTCATGGTTGACGTAATTTTCTGTTGCTAATTTTTAGATGTCCAATTTTCCGTTGCATCATTTTCTGAGTACCATTTAATTATCAATGATGTTTGAAAGTATTTTTCTTGACAAAAATGTTCTATTTAATTTTTAAGCATTTTTTGGAACATTGTAAATCAACTGCATTCTTTTAAAGGTTACCTAGAGAATTTATGCAAAGTTTATTTTTTTGTTTTTCTTTATACAAGTAAAATAAATTTACATCGTATTTTGATGTTATTATGATTTTAGTTTTGTGATAATTTAAAAACAATAAATATTTATCATTAGTACCAATAATGAAAAATTAAGTTAAAAATTTAAAAGAATCGTTTTTGGAATCGGAAAATAGGCACAAATTTTTCCGATTCCGATATCATTTCCGAGACCCCAAAAAGTTCCGATTTTTCCAATTCTTGATTCCGATTAATCATCCCAACACTAGTAGGTATATTCAAAAGTATATCGCTCACTCAATGTAAAATTGTATCTCAGCGAATTGATACACAGGCAAGACTGAAATTGTTGCACATTTGGCTTCGCTTTGTTGTTATTGATGATGCAGAGTTAAAGCACCATATCATCCGATAAAATGTTACACCAATGTCTCTTGTAAGTAACCAAGATTGTAGCAATTGAAACACATGAAATCTGAAAACATTGCTATTTTTCCTACTCACAAATTTCCCGACAATTTATTAGAAATTTTCTGACGGTGGGACAAAACTGGGGTGGGGGAATAAATTATTTCTGGGGTTGGGTGGGGGGTCATATGCCCACCTGCGAAACCCTGCGTCTCCACCACTGTTTTCAGACTATTTTTGGCACCTTAGCCTGGTTGAAAAATTTTGTTGGGGATGACATTGTGTCATCCCTTCTGTGCTGGCACCCGGGGCGGTCCGCCCCACCTTATCTCCCCTTAGCTACGCCACTGGTGCCATGTATAATTAGACTGTTATTCTTTAGTCAATTAACATAGCAGCAGAGCTTAATTAGAAAAAAAAATGACTGACACAAATAGAAAAGAATGGAAGGCAAAGAAAAGATCAAATTTAGAAAAGCCAAACCAATTAAAATATAAAGTAGTTATTTTTTAAATCCAACATTGTAACCCAGTTTTTGGTATTTCTAAGTGATACTCTTTATTAGGTACCTCCAAAAATTTGCTAAAACATGATCAAAATGTGCCCCAAACATAATAAAAACAAAATTTTACCATCAAAATTCTTGTGTTATTATTAAGAGGAAAGATCAAATGATTTTTTGTGTAAATCTTTTTTTATATGGCAAGTATTACAACTGTCTTTCACCTTTATCAATTAATATGAATGAATTCAATAGTAATTTCTCCCATGGCACACCATTCAACTGCAGGACCTTTTCATCCTTTAAAATTATTTCTACAAAGTTTACCCCTATGGAGGTTAATATGTTATCAGTTATGGATGAGTTGTTTATCAACCATTCCCACCATATGTCTGTATAATTGATTTGGGTGTAACATATATTCAAATCAATTATACAGCTTTGTTTAATGATTAAATATAATGCATAAAGTGTTGAGAAATAAATAATAAATCCTTATATATCGCAATAATACAGAGTTGTTTATCGACCATTCCCACCACATGTCTGTATAATTGATTTGGGTGTAACATATACTTAAATCAATTATACAGCCTTGTTTAATGATTAAATATAATGCACAAAGTGTTGAGAAATGAATAATAAATCCTTATATATCGCAATAATACAGAGTTGTTTATCATTGGTTCATTTCTATTTCATTAGATTTGATTATGTGTTATATCAAGCATATGGTGGCAGAAACAAGAAGAAATGACAGAGGTTTAAGAAATAAATAATTGTATTAACAAAAAATACAATGAATGGTGAAGTGGTGTGAAAGTCTTCTATTGAAAGAAAGAGATAAGTGAAGCCATCCACAGAGGCTTACGGTAGGAGAGGGTGAGTCGTGACTTACTGTGGTGATGGGCTTTTGCAAGTTGTCCTTGGAGATGAGAGGCCAGTTTTCTCTGGGTGTGGAGTTCCAACAAGCGTGTGAACCCTGGCTGTTGTGCTGACCGATTGCTGAAGATGTCCCTTTGATGGGCTTTTATGTCCTTTCATAGGCTTAGATTGGCTTCAATTCCTATTTTGTTTCTTTAAGCAGGAGTGGGTGCTGTTGGGTAAAAAATTGGATTGTATGTTTTTGCTGGGTGGTGAGGAAAGTGGAAGATGTGTGTGGAGCCAATGTATGTTTGATGGAATTTTTAGTTTGATCTTGGGTTTCAGATCGTTCACACTGGGCCAGAGGTGGAAATTTGTGTAACATGAATCAGAAGATCTGGTATAGGAAGATTATAACAAAAGTCTGCACCAAGGAATTGTGAGATCTGTCTTAAGTCATTCATGTCCTAAGTCATTCATGTCCTAAGTCATTCATGTCCTAAGTCTTCATGTCCTAAGTCATTCATGCCCTAAGTCTTCATGTCAAACCAAAAATTCAAGTCTTCATGTCAAACCAAAAATTCAAAGCCAAAATGAATGTGTTGAGACTAATTCTATTCCATTGATAAACTCTAATCAATGTGGAGAACACAATATTGATAACAATAAGAAAAATGAATTTCTATCAGATTCTTATGAGGGAGATAGAGATAATAGCAACAATTTAATTTAGGATCAGATTACTGATAATGAGATAAATGTCAATACAATATACACTTGTGAAAACAGAAACACAAGGAGAGCCGGATATGAATGGGACAAGGCCCCATCACAAAATGACCATTATCTTCATTTACGCATGTTCCCGACGCACGAGTTCCGGTCGAAAAATAAAATAATATTTTTAAGTGTTTCTATTTTTCGACCAATAAAAATGCTTCCCTCCTAGTTATACTCGCGTCGTTTTGCGAGCCTGTTAAGCCATAAAAAACGCCATAAAAGAGGTCACACGGAAGTACAACGGCAGTCAACAGGAGGCCAGGGAAGAGACCTGTCACGGTCAGGATGAGCGGTCAGCAGGGGGAGCACCAGCGCCAACCAGTGTGAACTACTATGAGAGATCAACCCAGATTCGAAGCCGGCTTATGAACTTTACCACAAGGTAGCTGTCCCAAACCCACACATTCCTGTTGAAATAAATCACGTAAATCTATTTCTGCTGTTGTCGTATTTCTTTCTTGCAACCATACGCTTGTCTATAACAAACCTTTGCATGAGTAGAGTTTTGACTTCCCTTAAAATGTTCAAGTT